TGCTGAACCTTGACTAGAAAGGTTAGGTTATAAAGAAGAAACCTAAATGCCCCAAAGACTGATCATGTCTTGGATTTCACATCTTTGGCTGACCCTTTGAAAATTTTGCACTTAGCTGCTGCTGCCGCCTTCCTATTATGGTCCTTATTTACTTGTCAGGAAGATCAATTTCAAGAGATAAAAGGAGGTAAAAACCACAGATTTAGCACAAAAATCAATGCATCAGAACTTGTTTGAGAGGAAGAATGGATGTTTATCTGAAGAGCCGGCCCCGATTCCCTGGAAAGCAATCAAAGTGAATATTGCTCACTAGAGGTAACAGAAATGAAAAGAGGAAAAGTGAACAGTGGCCCATGCTGGAAACTCTAATATTAAATGTTCACATTACACAGAGTATGCGATGGGTAGAATTTCATTATTAGTTTTAGATGTCAACTTGTACTATGGATGTCTAAAGCTTCAACTTAATCAATGGACAGAATAAAAATATTAAAAGTGGAATCAGGCTATTGTTCTAGATAGTAACTTTAACCTACATTAGTAAGCTAGTTCTCAGGTGAACAAATTCATCTGAGACTAAAACAGCTCTCAGCTTAAAGTATGTGAGTGGGAATATGTTTCCTCACTAGGAAAATGCATTTCCAAAAGAGCTATTTGGGAAAGCCCACATCTGAGATTTGAGTAAGATGACTTCCACCAATGAACTGCCTGAGCTTATGATGCTGTCAACCACTGCAGGTTCAGTACCACCGTGGTTGTTCACTTTTATGTGGAATTAGAAGTGGAATTCCATAAATCATAAAGAAAATGGCTTAGTCAAGAAGAAAATTTCTCCCTCCTTCAAACAAAACTGGACAGTGAAGTCTTATGCTTCTGGGAACAGATTATGTGGCTTGAAGGTATCCTTTTAACAAATGCAACAGACTACAAAAAAAGGACAGCCTGTGTTGCTTATATTATTGCCTGATTATTTTCAGATGTTACTTAACAGATTTGCAGCATGTTGAATTACTGTTCTATCTTAGCTTGTCTTTTTGCGCTACACAGAAAGAACAAACAAGACGACCTAGTACTGGCTGTGGATAAGACATGTGTGTGAATACATTACAAGGTAACAGCATAGTTGAAACCAATTAAATTCTTGTCTATCTAAATCAAAGAACTACTGTAAGGTTGGTAAACTGCATAGGGGATTACAGTGAAACATTGCATACAGCACTACAACTGATTTTAAAATATTATCATGCAAAGCCAATATAGCACACAGGAAATGGTAGTAACAATAATTAGAAATAAACTAAAAGAATTTTTTTCTTAACTTAAAATCACTCTTTACAAACTAGCAATAAACAGTTAATAGGTTACCAATAGCCAGTTACAAATCTCAAAAGAGAAAATACTTCTTTTTAGCAACATATATGCAGAAATCTATTCCTGTCTCCATACTTTTCAACTGTGTCACTAAGCAATGAATATAGAAGCCTTCCAACTGCCAATTGTGGCTTACTATTTACAAAGTTTATTTATAAACTCATTTTCATGCAAGTATAAAATACTAATTCCATAGACAAATACACATTTGTTCACCACTCTAAATTATATACATTGTATTTGCATCTAATATTCAGAGAAGTGCAAAGTCCACAGTGATGTAAATAACAATAGTTTCGTAAACTATTAGATGACAAGCTCTTAAAAGATATCAGTAACTGTATGATAACATATTGTTTTGTATACTGCTGAAATCAAACATTTTTGCAGTAAAAGAACATACATTTCAGCTACATTCAAGTGATTATTTTATTACCATATATTATGTCTTACAAACTTTAGTGGAGATGAGCAAGAGCACTACAAAACCATACCTTAACGCAAGAGGTGTACTGCATGGTAAGTGCAGGCATAGCAAAGGAGAGACGAGAACTGGAAAGAAAACAAGCTAAGGAAACTTGTACAAAACCGGATAGTAATACTGACTAACATTAGGTTATAATCTTACTTATAACAGACCTGAATGGCTAATAGAGATCCAATTCAGAAACACCTGTGCACTGTAGGTACAGTTTGGTGCAGATCAAGAGTGCACTAATACAGTCAATGTTGTATGCATAAGATAATGCACAAAATACGCTGATATGCATATAAACAACGAATTTGTTTACAGTAAGTAGGGCAGCACAGTTGTAGTACTGCACCCTTGGCACTTAGTGATAGGACAACATGTATTTGGTTTAACTAAATTAATGAACAGGATATATACTGGTTTGTAAGATGTAAAACATACATTATCCCTTTGAACCTTCCGGTTTTACAGCATTTTCCTAATTTTCAAGTTCAAACACAAACACGATACACTAACTAGATACGGAAGACGTTTCAGATTTGGCTTAAAACAAGACCTCAAATTAAAAACAAAAGACAGAAACTCAAATTAATTCAAATTACATTATTTAGATCTGTTACTGATGTCTTGTGCTGAAAACAGAATCTGAAACGTTAAACAAAAAAAAAACAAAAAAAAAAAACAAAAAAAAAAAAACAAAAAAAAAAAAGCAACCTTGTAATACAACCCACAATGTCTTTATGGGCTTTTCCTGAACAGTAATTGCTTCCTTAATGTCCCTTTCATATATGGTAATTTCACTTAAAAGAACTGCTGAAGTTATTAATCTGAAAAGTTGTAACTGAATTACAAGTTTGGCCTGGCAATATCATATCACACAGAATGGAAGATAATATGCTCTTCTTCAAAGCAAGCATGTTTCAGCTACAAAAGGATTCCAATTTTAAGTGATTGTCCTTGATCTAAACAATATTAACAACCATCTGGAGGGAGCCAATTTACTTTTGCCTGTTTTAAACCAACTGGCTAAATTGCCATTTTATATTATACATAACAAATGTAATAAAACTGTTCTTGACATATAACGATGTAACACTTTAAAATTAACTGGTTTAAAATATTTTACAAAGACATTTTATTATATATGAACTATACAACACACAGGAGTATGAAATACTTTGAACATATACACATTTCTGTATTTTTCCATGTAGATTATTACTTTGCACCTAACATTGGTGTCTGCAATTCTAACAATCCTCTCAGATAAAAACCCAGAATGTTTTTTGTGGATGTGGGTTTATTTCCTGAAAATAAAGCCTATTACCAGGAGAATTTCTCTAATGACTTTTTTCTTTTCTCATTTTCAGATTTCACACAAAGCTTTTCAAATGGATCAACATAGATAAAAAGACTAACCTCTCTGTATTTTGCAGTGCAATTTGCAAGGGATAAAGTTTAAACCAAACTTGACCCTCTCCCCACTACCGACATTGAAAACTGCAGTCAAAGTAAACGTCAATACCAATCGCTATTGAGACTCCTTTCCCCTTTATTTAAAATGCAAACCTTTTCAATATCCATTTTAATGAAAATATTTGCATAGAGCAGCCTTGTATTATTTCTAAAGAACATTATGAGCATTTTAACACAAGATAAGGCACATGTTTTTCAGCATTAATAATCTAAAACTGATCCTGAGGACCTGCTCCTCCCCCTCAGCAAAGTTTGCTTTTTTAATATACCCTGTATTACCTGAAGAAAGCAGAAAAACAGTATAGAATAAACCAAAAATCTTCAGCTGAACTAAATGACTCCTGATAGTAGCATAATAAATCCACAGATAAAGAATTAAGTCATTCTCTGAACAAATTATCTTTAGGGAAAAAAAACCCCCGATACAGCCAGTAGCACTGTAAATGTTCTAAGGTTCACATAATATGGATGACACATAATAGTGAGTTTTGCTAAAATAAGCTCCCATCAGAAACAAGGTAGCTAAACTGTGAGGCACTTAAGGTTGACAAGAAAAGGAGGAATGTAAGGGGTCTGTTTTGTAGAAAACCTGAAGTTGCATATCATATCCTTGTATTAAGCCTTCTATTAAAGTGCTAGAAATGGAGACTTAAAACAAAAGGATTTAAATATAAAATAAGTGATTAAAGAGCTTAGTATGCATTAAAATTAAGTGCTTTTGATTCTCATGAATTCAGAGCTTTTTAATAGTTTTTAAAAAATAAAGTCTGGAAATAATCCAAGTGTGAAATCATCTTTCTTGTGCCATTGATGCTATTTGTAAAGTGCCCAATTATTTTCTAAATAACAAAACCATTTGCCTTATCTTATGTTGTATAGCATGACATAGTCTGTAATACATACGTAATCCATACTGCAATGACACAGTCAATCTGATGGAAAACAGCATATGCGTACTTTCAATCAGAAGTTTTAATTCCACCTGTCACTCTAAAAAGCCAGGTCTTGGATTACATATCCACCAGTATATAGTGCAACCAACCTCGTGTTCTCAAAATGTAATTTAGCTGTTAAAGTCCAATGCTCAAAGAGACTTATCAAGAGCCTTTTCTCAGAGCAGCCTGACGCCCAGACAAAATCACAGATGGAGCTCTAGATCTGAATCACATAAATCCACTAGATGCCAGATCTGAGAAGGATCTGGGTTCTGTCGGATGATGAAGAGGCTGAAGATGTGTGGCAGTCTGCGTGTTACTGATCACATCTAACTGAGAGGGATATGCTTCATTTACATTTCCTCCATTGAAACCGTTTTGGAACTGGCAGGAAAAGAGACAATGTAAGTGGTTAGTGTGGAAAACCAATTTATTTTCAAATTTTTAAAAATCCCCCTAAAGACACAGATTGGATGAAATAATCTTAAAATACAATTAATAGCTTTTAAACTTTTTTTTTTAACGATGAATGATGAGAAGTTAATTTGCATTAAAGTAGGGTCTGAATAATCAGTGAAACTTTCCCATGTTGCAGTCAGTGAGAGTCCTACGTCTGACTAAGTAAAGAAATATTGCTATCATCTCTGAAGTGTTGTAGAAAGCACAGTCTTACTGAGCACTCCTAATTTCCACATCCAGCTGTTACATTTTAAAAGCAACCTATTTACATATTTTCATGTCTGCAATGGGATCCAGACTTGAAAGCTCTTCCAGGAATGCACATGCAGTCCTATGAGTAAGCTGAAGTGTACTGCATTCAATCTAGAGGCTGAGCTATCATAGGGTGGGCTTTTCTGATAAACGGTCTTCATATTGACAAGTAAGAGCAATGACTGGCTTTCATCAGTCTTGACATAATTGTTCACAGGATTATTTTAATCATCTGATGTAATGCTTCCTGTCATGCTATGGAAAAGTCATTTTATCTACAAAATACTCCATTCAGTCATGCAAAGAAAATACAGCAAAGCATTTTAAGCATTTCCATCACCTCTTCAGGAGAAGCTTATACCCTAGGTATTCATTCATTCAAGGTCTGTCATTAAAAATATATATTATATATTCATTCATTCATCTATCAAAATATGCTGGGTGTTGGAAACTTTTTTTACCTTCTACGCAAACATTAAATTTAGTGTGACCAGTTCTTCTAAGTTTTTAACAAGTCTACAGCCATATGAATTATGTTTTAATCAAAGTTGCCATACTTTTAAAGATAGCTACAATAACATAAGGTAGGATTACTTCTGACAGAAGCAGATTATTCCAATATACTTCGTTAATAAGATGAGCATGCTCATTAAAATTTCTAAGAGTTCTCAGCACCGAATCCAGTACTTAGCAAGGTTTCTCCTGATTAATAAAGGAATGCTGACCTTAAACAAGCAATTACATTATTTAAGGCCATTCTGGCCTTCACCCCGAAAGTGTTTTAGACTACATTGGCTATGATCCTGCCATAATAACAAATTAGGCAGAAGGTCAAGGCAGATGACTACAATAGACCCTTCTGGCTTTCTAATCCCCTAGTCTTTTCACATTGAAATTGAAGAGAGTAAGGCAGCTGAGAAAAGGATAGCAATCATGGCTTGCATAGCAACGTCTGTCCTCTCTCCAGACTCCAACTGCTGATAGAGATGTCATTGTGCTAAATCCAGCCACAAAGACTGCCCTACTTTGGCTTGACTGTGAACACAGGGGCAGATAGTAGTATCCTATCTGCTTAGTCACATCCTAACTTGAGTTACCAATTAGCAAAAAACTCAAACCTTAAGTTTATTCTCCCTATTTACAACTAACAAATGTATATTATTTGCCACCAATTTACAAGATTACTTCAAGTGCAGCAGCTATACTTCTGACTTACTAGTTCCTATGGGTTCACATATTTTAAAGTTCTTAACTCTGATGCAAGACTAAATACAATCTCTGTAATATAAGCATATACAAATGTAGGCTTATCTTTCTCTGGACCAGTGACATTTCTCAGTAAAAAACTGTTTCTACATTAAAACATTTCTCAACACAACATATTTGGTTTATATAAAGCGTTACTTTGCCATCAAGCTATAAAAATGTAAGTTGCAGATGCAACTGGAGGTCAAAATTGAGTAGTCTGATATAAGAGAAGCTGGGTTTTTTCCATGTGAATAGTATATACCAGCATAGGCTGCTAAAGTCAATGTTATTTGGTTTAGGAACAAGCAGTCTGTTCCCACCTCGAACCACTCCCAGCTGGCATACGTAAGTTTTGGACCCACAAAGACTTGAAGAGAGCTATTGGTTATCTACGATCACTCTTTAACGAAAGGGGTTGGGAGAATAATCCTTCCTTACCTCATCAAGAAACATGCCCCTTTTTTAAGCTCATTTGGACAAATGTTCAGCAGTTCTCCTCAGAGGCAAACAAGAGCTAATGTGCATCAGTTTTGCACTAACATTCTGCTTATGAATGCTATCCAAATCCACATAGCACAGGTATACCATAGCAAGAGGGGCTGAATTTGCCTCTGAACAACTTACGGATAATTTTTCACAAAGCAGCTTTTGCTCACTTTGTTTTGTTTTTTTATAGTGACAAACAAGCTAAACACAATATTAGTACTGAAGCACAGTATTGTAGTAAATATGAAGTAATAGACGTATTCATTTCCTGCATTGAGATGCTTAGTTGTTAGTAATTAAAATTTATACAGATAAATGAGAAGAAAAAGTAAGCAAGAAAGAAAATTATGAAAAAGATTAATGCAACATAACAAAATAATCTACAAAATAAATGTAATTGAAACCAACCATCAAAGAGAAAAAATGGAATTGCTTATTCACTGGCTGTTCAAAACTTACGCATCACACCAGTATAGCTTTTGTAAACAGAGCAATTCTATACTATTTTAGAGATTAACTTGGATGACCCTGGAACTGCTTTGCAGCGGTCAAACACTGAAGGGCTAATAACACTGACCAGGCAACACTGGCTTGGCAACAAACAGCCAAGCACTGTGCATGCTTGCGCACTGCAGCTTGCCAGTAGCTTCATGCTGCTTCAGCTCTTGGGTACCCAGGCAGCAGTTGGTGATCTTGCTGAACTGTCCCATATGTTAGCTAGATTTCTGCAATTCTGCAATTATCTTTTTTTCCACTAGTGAAGTAGTTTTAAAAAAGGGTCTGTTTTGTACTTGTACGAAGTGTACCAAAAAACTGGGTATGTCCTACTTGCATTCCTCACCTTTGCCTTGTGTAGGTTAAATGGCAATTAATACTTTCATTCTGTAAATGCTTACGCATGTGCATAAGCATTTATAGGATCAGTACTTTGGAACCTTAACTCACTTAAATAAAAAAAAAAAAATATAACAACTGTAGCCTTGTACTTGAGCAGCATTAACAGAAAGAAATGGCACAATTTAAATTACTTCAAAGGTTGTCCAGAATCAAGAACTGCCCTAGTAATTGATTTTTATTTTTATTCCTAAGTTAATTTTATCTATGAAGAACTGTGCTTAAAGCTGTAATCTATGCTACAGCCAGGCTCCTCTTTTACAGCTTTTACTGTGCATTCTCCTTAGCACAATGTGAAAAAGGTCCAACTTACCTACTTGAATGTACTTTTTTCCTGCTATTTTGTCTGCAGCAGACAACTTAGCAGCCTGAGGAACGAGCTGACTTTCACTACTGTCTGTAGAAATGCAATAGTTCATAATATTTCACACTATTTATGTGACATTATAATCCGATATTTTAAGCAATCCTAAAAGCATTGAAGAATCTGAGAAGCTAGAGAACATTGGTTGTTTGGTTTTTTTAAAGGTATCTTTCTGGATCTTTACAACATATTTCATGAAAACAAATGTGCCAGACAATATTTCTGACATCATGCCACTCCTCTCAAAAAAGATATATAAGCAAATCCCAAACTTTTGACCAACCTGTTTTTCCTTTGCTCCTATGGGAAAATTACTGGTAGGTACAACAGACTAGTTCACTCACTCTTGTTATAATACTGCAAAGACAGCTACCAAGCTGTGGATACCTGTACATAAAAAAATGACCAAATACAACTCTCTTCAATCTAATGGACAAATAAAGCAAGGGCATTCAGCACACTGATAACCCATCAAACTCAGTGACACACAATTATGGCAAAACTGCATCCTGGTAGCCACCCAGAACAATAAAACCATGATTCAAAATGCAAGCAATGTAGCAATGCTGTTTACCTTACCTTGTTCAACAAGGTTTGTTGACTTGTCATCATAGGATCATACTGCATTTGATCCACACAGCTGGGCTGTGCTTCTTGCGCACACTGGTACATAGAAACAGCGCCCGCGTAGCATGTTTGAGGAGTTAGCGTAACAGGCTCAGAGTTTATCCCACACTCATGATTTTCAGGGACTTGCTGCAAGCAACTGAGAAAATCCTCCAAGTTGGAAGAAGCAGAATAGGTTGATCTGTCAAAACCTGCTACAGGGAAATCCATTGGAGAGAAATTAGAAAGCTGTGGCATCGTTGCTGTGGGTTGCTTGTAAGGGATAAACTCTTGCCTACACGCATATGGGGAAGTGTTTACTTCTGATTTGTAAGAGAACTCGGATGTAGTTGTGTGCATGCCAGGGAATTCATATTGCTGGGGCTGCTGCTGTGAGCAGCTATGAGGCATGCTAGTGCCAGAGCTCCAACTTGTGAACATCCCATTGACTTGCATATGTTTCATCTTTTGACAGAGTTGCTGCTGCTGCTGTTGCTGCTCCATAAGCTGTTTCTGGTGCTGATGAAATTGATGTGGATCTAACTCTGGCTGTACCAAGCAACCTTCATTCTGGACCAAGGACTGCTGTTGGTTACAGCCTGAATATAAGAAGTCAGACTTATTTAAGGAATCCTGAACATAAGTCAGGATTTCATTAGTTATGTTGATATCCCCAATATCATCCACATCAGATAATTCAGTTTTAAAAAACTCTTCATCCTGCTAAATTTAGATCTTCAAAGTCAATACCCAGATTTTTCATGATGTTGTACAAATCACTGGTTTTGTTATCTTGAAAGAGTGCTGCACTGTCTTCAGGGAGTGGAACAGTACTGTCCTGGGAACACTCCATTAGCTCCCGCTTGAGAATGTTGTCATTTCCAGCAGGTAGGAGATTATCCATCCAGCTGCTGCTACCACCACCCAATTCATCCCTGCTGTCTGTAAAGAAGTTCCGCTCAAAGGAAAGTTTATGTGATGCTGGAGGGCAGAGATACACAGACTCATCTTGCCTCAACATGGCACCTAGCAGGGAGTTTGGATCCACAGAATCATTTTGTAGCGTTGCTTTGGCTCCTTTTCCTGTTGTGCTTTTATTCTTCGGATTAGAAGGATCCATAAGGCTTGACATAAAAACATATAACACAGCCTCGCCAGTGGCAAACATGAAGGGCAATTTCATGTTACGCTTTCGTAGATGTTCTGCCCCTTCTTCATCTCTGAAAATAAATCATATATATAGCATAATACTGCAATACTAAACAGTTACTGTAATCTTTCTGTCCCCTGGAATTAATATTAAAAAAAAGAACTACATTTGTAGGCATTTTTCAAATTCCTAGCTGTTCGAGCTCAACTTGGCTGGGTTAAACCAAGAGGCAGATTATGAAATAAGGAGCTTATGACTGTAATACAACATTTACATATTACATTTGTAATTAAATCTAGATAGCATACATCATTTTCTGTGCATTATGAGCTGAAATGAAAATAAGTGGGCTTTGTTCCACACTCTGTTTATCTTGGCATATCAAGTAAATGAATACTCTAATACTGAAGTATTTCTTTTCCTCCATTTTACAGACTCCTTAGCAAAAACTATTTAACCTGTATAATCATGCTGAATTCCATACTATGTAGAATTTAGATCAGCACCATAAATGACTTAATTTACATTATCTGCTGTTTCTCCTACACAACTGCATTTAGATTGCTTAGTTTTCATTAATGGGGATACTGTATTAAAAATAGGCTGGATGGAATAACATGGTGCTTGTACCACTGCTCTTATTCTATGAATAATTATTATATATGAATATTATATATGAAATAAAAATGTCTAAAGTTTTACACATAAAGGACTATGCCATGTAAAGTACTGAAATAATAGAATTATTTTCAATGTCTTTTAGCAGTTTGAAAGAGGTTTTCTTTTTGGAGTCCAGGTTTTAAAGGGGGTTTATTTAAAAATAAAGAATTCATTTCTGAATATAAACAAGCTCAAAAGTTTTCAGTTTTGAAGTATACTGCTTGATACAATGATGACTTACGTAAGAGGTCTTTGCGTAGCAATGATGTAATCTGGTCTTCCATTTTTGTAGACAAGACGTGCATTTGCCTGCACCCAGGCCCATCGATTTTCTTTGGTTAGAAGCCTAAATACAGTCATTCCACTTTCACCTGTCTTCATCACTAGAGTCAAAGAGTAAGCATACTGTTTACTATCCAGTGAAAAAAAAATAGTTAAATCTGGTATGTCATTAAAGTACTCTCATTTGTAGAGCAATTTTACAAATCTTAAGTCCTCAATCACCCATTTCTGTGCAGCACTAATGTACTGCTAGTGAAACAGGATGATTGATCACTAAGATGCCTACTTTACCGGTAAAATCAAAGCCAAACTGCATGCAATTGTAAGAGATCCCCACCAACTGGCAACATCCTGTATTAAGCTTCATCCATTATTTCTGCAATAACAGAAATTAATACTAGAACATGTAAATGACATGTTCATGAAAAGAGCTTAAGTCTCTTTTACATCTGAAAAGTGACTGTTACTTAAGAAATCAAAAACCACATTCGCTCTGAATCCAATTCTTTCACATTTTGACTGGCTAATGCAGAGGTACTTCAAAATATATTATTTTTCATTCCCACTATCACTTCACTGCAATGCTTGTTAAAAATACTACATTTTGGTTATACATTGCTGAAAACACTGCATTTCTAGACAGAAAATGAAATTAAAAGACAACATTAGGGAAGTTTAAGAATCCTCAAATAATCTTTGCTACAAGACTTCCTTTTTACCTTAGCATCAGAAATGCAGTAACGCCAGTTTTAAGACAAAGTGTTAAACCATAATTTCAAAACAAAGTTTCATCCCATTCTATTCTGGAAATCTTTCCTGTTCTTTACCAAAAAATCAAAACCTACTGATAGACAAAAGTGACTGAGCTGTACCTGAAAGAGAAAACCTGCTTAATACAGGTTGAAAACTAAACTACTGTGAGGTTAAAAAGAAAAATCAGTTTTTGAAGAGAAGTCAGTAGAAAAGAAGAAGCACCAAAATATCCTGAAGCTGTTTCTGTAACTTCCAAAGACAAGTATGGTACAGTTAACAGAAATATAATGAAAGAAGTCCATTCAGCAACTACATATCAGATAGCTGATGCTTATTTCCTTAGCTTAAAACATACTTCTCTCCTTAAGCTGTTACTTAAACCAAATCAAGCTGACAAGAATCAAAACCTGAAAGGTACACAGACACTAGTATGCTAAATCACAGGTTAATTTGTGTTAAAAATCTTACACTGATAACAGAAGAAAATACTTTATTTAGCTTTCTAACAGGAAACCTATCTTTGAAACATTCCCTTTGCCCAAAGGAAGTTGTTGAAATAGCAGAAGCTGGATTGAGCAGAGAAGGAAGTGAGAAGAGCAAGATATGACAGAAACTGGAATATATAACCTAAAAGGGTCTAGATATTAAATATTAATTCATCCAGTGTAAGTTTTTATAGGGAAGGAAAGATCACATGAACGGTGTTCTTTTTGTTAACAATAACGTCTTTTTTTTTTTTTAAAGAGTACTTCACAGTAGTTTTTCAGTACGAATATAGTAAATGCTTTAATTTTTCAGCCTTTCTTAGGGAATGAAGCTTACTTCGGACATGATTTTCAGCACAATAAAGCATATCAGCTGCATGAATGAACTGGTATCCTGTTCCTCTCATACATAGCTCTGCTTCAGTGTATCCCAGGACAATCTTTCCTCTGGAAGGTAAAAACAATAAATTGCAACACTGCTGATGAGCCAACTCATAGAATTAAGGTCAAGCAAGTGAATTATGGCTAGAACATTTCAGACTCAAGTGCTAACTACATTTTGTTGCAATACTAATTGTATGCAGAAGCATGACAGTTCTAAAAGGAAAAATACAGCCAGCAAATCAAAGGTTTTACTAGTTCCCCGAGTTGCTTCCAGTGAGTAGGAACGGGCTCACGGAACTATCATATCATCAAAAAAAGAAAGATTATGTCTACAGTTCAGCTAGACTCCTAATTTCATACTTTTGAACATGCTCACTTATAGCAGGCAGCTGCCATCTGTTGCAATAAAAGACACTGTTTGCTTAGCCCTATTTCACAGCATTTACCTACAGGTGTTTGCACGTAGAAATGATTAGGGGCTTAACTTTAGTAATGTAAAACTTCTTGCCTAAATTAGTACTTTTAATAGCTTAAAATTCAAAACAGGGCATATCTCAGAACTACATCCCTTTTGCTATTGGTTTGGTACCCCTGTGTTTGCGTTTAAGCTTTCTAAGATACACCTCAGAGGAGTACAGGCAATATCACATTTGATCCTGGTAGTCAAAAATTACTTTACTAGAGGTCAGGGAGATGAAGAACTTAACAGCATCTGTTAAAGAGACTGAAACAGGATTTGGAACAAAAACAGAGATCTAAACATAGAGAGGATAAAAAAAAAGGAAAAAGTAGGGCTAGGAAACAATATATACAAAAGTGTAAAATGTGACAAAAATTTAAGGTTTCAAGTGAAGCATAATGGAGAAAAAAAAAATCAAACAGAAGAATGAAAAGCCTGTGTTAACTTTTTGTTAACTTTTACTTATATCAGTTTACAAAACCCATAGAACATTTCGGTTGATCAATAGGCAGAACACCAAGTAATTTGACTGCATTACCCTATAATGGAAATCCATATGAGATTTGACTGACAATTAGTCTGAAAGCTGAAAGCATTATCAGTCAATAATAGGAGGAAGGAGAGAAGGAAGGAAGGAGACCAGAGGCTATTCCTTTGATAAAGAAGCACCTTAATGGGCTTCTTGCCATGTTGATGCATAGTTATGTTATGTTGATCTGGTAATGCAATAGTATTTCCAGTTTTTATGTAGGGA